TATCGGAACTGAAAGATTCAACCGATTCTCCAACTGGACATCACTTGTTCGAGCAATAGCCTTATTGAAACGTTTCTCCCGTTTACACGGGTCAAAACAGGCAGAATCGGTGACCTCTCTTGGAAGCCTTTCGATTGCCGAAAACTTCATTTTAATGTCCGCTCAGCACGAAGTTTACGGAGAAGAAATAGATAACATTCGACGCAAGGAACAAATTCATAAGCGAAGCCCGATAGCTAACCTCAATCCGTTTTTGGACGAACGAGGACTATTACGAGTAGGAGGCCGTATTGCCAAATCTGACTTAAACCTCCGTGAAAAGAAACCATTGATCGCCATCATATAGCGACATTATTAGTCCGACACTACCATGACAAGATAAAACATCAAGGTCGCCATTTCACAGACGGAGCGATTCGATCCGCAGGATTCTGGATTGTCGGAGCAAAACGCTTGATCTCTTCTCTTATACACAAATGTGTGACATGCCGCAAACTAAGAGGAAAAACCGAGTGTCAAATCATGTCTGAATTGCCAGAGGACCGTCTTGAACCGTCACCTCCGTTCACCAACGTTGGAATAGACACCTTTGGACCCTGGACAATTGTTTCACGTAAAACACGTGGTGGATACGCCAACTCAAAACGTTGGGCAATTTTATTTACATGCTTAGTGACAAGAGCTATTCACATCGAACTAATCGAGGAAATGACTTCTTCAGCCTTCATAAACGCCGTCAGGAGATTCGCCGCTATAAGAGGCCAAGTTAAGATTTTCCGATCTGACCGTGGAACGAACTTTATTGGCGCAATCGACGATTTAAAGATTAACTCAATCGACGTTGAAGATGGACCCTTCAAGAACTTTCTGAACAATTCTGGTACAACTTGGATCTTCAATCCGCCGCATTCGTCCCACATGGGTGGAGCCTGGGAGAGAATGATTGGTATCACCAGGAGAATTCTTGATTCTATGCTCCTAAATTCAGCAGGAAAAAGCCTAACACATGACGTGCTAAGCACGCTTATGGCAGAAGTTTCAGCAATAGTGAACTCTAGACCTCTGGTACCGGTATCAACAGATCCAGAGAATCCGTTAATATCAACTCCGGCTATGTTATTGACACAGAAAACCGACTACATTTTCACTTCAGATCATCTTGGAGAATTCGACAAACGAGATCTTTGTCTTGCCGAATGGAGACGAGTACAGGCGCTGGCCAGTGTTTTCTGGTCCAATTGGAGGAAAGAGTACCTGCCGTTACTGCAACAACGACGAAAATGGACCGAAGATCGCCGTGATCTCATCGAAGGAGACGTCATTCTTCTAAAGGACAAAAACCTTTGCCGTACTAAATGGCCCATTGGAGTTATAGTTAACTCATTCAAAAGTTTAGACGAACATGTCCGGAAAGCATAAGTACGAAAAATCGGAAATGGAAAAGCCACCATCTACACACAACCAATCGTGGACATGATTCTTCTCATAGAGAACGACTGAAAATAATTTGATGTTAATACTGATACTATGGATTTATATAGTGAGATATTCAAGTGTGATTATATATTAGTGATATCAGTTAGACATCAGACGGGGAGTATGCTGTATCAGTTTTTAATTATATTTATCATAACGTTTACTGGATTGTATTTTCAGACATTCCTCTTTTCCGGAAACGAATCTGGACTTATCCGTATGTTCACTACCGTTTACTTTCTCTTCCTCGCCTTTCAATTACAAATGGATGCCACGACAAAATTGCTCCTGTGGATATTGTGACAAATCACCGTCAAGTATGTTTTAAATCGATTATAAACTGTTAAATATATATATACCGTTAATTCCGTTAACTTGAATTACACATTTATTCAACAAATACGAACTGTAATTGTTTATTTCTTTGTATTGAACTGCAAATTCTACTTTCGTTTTTGACTTGATATTAACATTGCATTGAACGTTCATGTATTTCTTTCGTACATATTGTAAAATATTGTATTTTTATTTCTTTCAGTTTACCAAACAATACACACTCTGTATAAACTCCTGTATCCCTTCTGGTGGAATTATAATTTACAATCTTCACACACAAGTTGTTATTTTTATAATTTGCCGAGATTGCGATTCAATCCCATGGTTATACTAGCTGAGTCAGGCTCAGCATACCGAGCAATACGAACCCAAACAAAAACCAGGGTAAAATCAGGTGCTCAGGAATTGTAAAAAAGGGGCGAAAGATACCAAAGGGACATTCAAACTCATATGTCGAAAATAAACTGACAACGCCATGGATAAAAAAGAAAAAAAGACCAACAGACAAACAATAGTACACAAAACACAACATAGAAAACTAAAGACTGAGCAACACGAACCCCACCAAACTCTGGGGGATGATCTCAGGTGCTCCGGAAGAGTAAGCAGATCCTGTCCCTCTATTGGCATCCGTAGTGTTCTTATGCAAGTTCTACTATACGAATAGTAACCTCTGGTAGTTGTTAACCTACTCAGGAGCAAAATGAAAATATTCTAAGAACATTAGAGGGTCGGAAAGGTTCCTTATTGTTTAGATAATTGACACACATGTAACATTAGCGGTTCATCTTAAATTGATCTAATCACAGACTAATACATGTAAACTAAGTCAAAGTATTAAAGTCAATAGGCCAGAAAGTGGGGGCAATATTCTCCATGGAAATGAGATGTGATAATCCTTATACAACTGCATACCAATTAACATTGGCCTACCACTAATGGTTCCCCTCTCGAACTGACCTAATCACAAACTTATACATGAAAACTAAGCAAAAGTTTCAAAGTCAATAGACCATGACTGAGGGGGCGGAGCCAAATGATCTCCATGGAAATGAGATATGCCAATGCTTATACAACTGCATACCAAATATCATTGACCTACCACTAGTGGTTCCCCATAAACTAACATAATCACAAACTAATACATGTAAACTGAGCAAAAGTGTCAAAGTCATTAGACCATGACTGAGGGGACAGGGCCAAATAATCTCTGTAGAAATATGATGTGTCAATGCTAATACAACTGCATACCAAATATCATTAACCTGCCACAAATGGTTCACCATAAACTAGACCTAATCATAAACTAATACAATTGTTGACGCCGCCGCCGCCGCCACAGCCGCCGCCGGAAACAGCATATCTATGTCTCGCTTTTTGACTCCGTCAAGGCGAGACAAAAAGGACCAAACGTAAAGCCAAACCCGGACAAGAAATAAGAGCTATACATGCGGGAGATACCATTTCTCCATTTTATATGTTTTCGAAACTTTTAACAGTATTTTAAAAAAAAAAAATATCCTGTAAAATATTGCTATGTAATTCATGCCTTCAATTTCACAATATACTGACTGTTTACAAGTTAAACGTTACATATTGACTCAACCCCCATTTTCCTAAACATATTATCGATGATTTTGATAGACCTTGTAATTGTAAGTCATGATAAAAAGAAAAAAAACAAAGACACAAAATGAAACAAATGTAGTGAGAAGAATGAGTAGCCTTTTTCTTTTTGTCTTCTTACATCTGAAAATCTGTTTTAACATGTTTAATAAAGTACAGGAAAACATATATTAAACAACTGGATGTTTATAGGTTATCATCAATGAAGTAAATTGAATAATTTGCACAAAATAAACTATAAAAAAACTTTAATATTTATGATTTATGATATGACTGGGTACAAGTCATCCTGAATCATGGTCAAATGATCCAAATAAAAAAATTAATTCTAAACAAAGATAGTCAAACCAAAGCTGATTTGTAACTCGTAAATTGCGTTTTGAATAACGTTTGTTTTTAAGGCAATTATACATTTTAAATTTTATACATAATCATTCATACGGGTGTCACATGTGGAGCGGGATATGCTTACCCTTTCGGAGCACATTCGATCACTCCATGTTTTATTGGTGTTTGGGTTGCTCAGTCTTTAGTTTTTTATGCAGTGTTTTGTTTCCTAGGTTGTCTTTTGTCTTTTCTTGTTGTTGTCATGGCATTGTCAGTTTATCATCGACTTAAGAGTTTGATATGTTCCTTATGTCGTAACTACAATACCCTTCCCTTTTCACGAATGTGACTTACCGAATTAGACTATTTACCGGATTTGTAATAACATAAGCAACACGACGGGTGCCACATATGGAGCAGGATCTGCTTAACCTTCCGGAGCACCTGAGATCACCCCCAGTTTTTGGTGGGGTTCGTGTTGCTTAGTCTTTAGTTTTCTATGTTGTGTCATCTGTACTATTATTTGTCTGTTTGTCTTTTTATTTTTGGCCATGGCGTTGTCAGTTTGTTTTCGATCTATGAGTTTGACTGTCCCTCTGTTATCTTTCGTCCTTTTTTTGAATATCCCTCTGGTATCTTTCGTCTCACTTTTACATATTCAAACTTGTAAGAAGTAACCTATGTTTTTGAAACATGATAAAATTGAGAATGGAAATGGGGAATGTGTCAAAGAGACAACAACCCGACCAAAGAGCACACAACAGCCAAAGGCCACCAATGGGTATTTAACACAGCGATAAAATCCCGCACCCGGAGGATAACATATTGCTATGAATTTCACAATGTACTGACTGATTTACAAGTTAAACGTTATATATTGACTCAACCCCAATTTTCCCAAACATATTGATAACACAAGTCATATGCTGACATTTTTTTTTTTATTATTTCTTACTTTTTTTGTACAATCTTGTGAAATCTATCATACAAAAAATTCCTATCCAGAATTTTAGATAAAATATTATCAATATGAAAAGGATTTCACTTTATCTACAATTGGTTTTCTTGAAACTTTTCAAAAACGTATTGTCAATGCATGACGATAAGTAAGGATTGAATTTACAAAGAAAAATAAATATTTGACGATTCAAAAATTAAAGAGGTTAGAAGTGTATGTATCGAATATATTGCATAGTATAACTTACTAATAGATATATTTATTATTATTATTTAAGGTTTTTCAGCGACGGTTAAATGGATCGGTCGACTTCTATCGAAATTGGACAACCTATGAAACAGGCTTTGGAGACTTAAACCATGAATTCTGGCTTGGTATGTTTTATCAATAACACACATTGACAATCTTACAATTTCATGTTCTGGTCAGAATGTATGTGCATAAAACAAAAAAAAATATCAATATGGGTATTAGAGATGACGGAAGGTAAGATTTAGATGTTATATTTAAATACAACCGTTTACGATCACGATACTAGTAGATGATGCTATATGTTTACTATCTGGCACGAATGTAACTAGGTTGCGAGCGAACGAGAGAGGCGTTATCGGAGACTTAGTATGTTTGTAAGAAATGGTTTAAAAAACTAAATATACTATGGGTACATTTGTATATGTGTGAAAGACACAAATAATTGGGTCATAAGTCACACTGTAAATTTTACAACGAAACTCCTCTTGTCTTTATATAAATAATTTTGCTAAATAGTATCGAGTTCTCTCTCTAATCCTATTTTCCAATTCAAGGGCAACCTATTTTCAATTCAAGGGCAAATTAAGTTACTAAAAAGGTTATGTGGCACGTTCAATTATTTTTATAAAAGGTAAGCAAATAAAATCTGTTAATATTGTTGGGAGTAAATTTTGAAAGTTTATCACCACATCTCTCCTACCACTAGAAACAAAATGAGGAGGAATGGGTTTTCACAATAGGGTTAAACACTTCACTTATTTATGAGGATTTCCTTAGATCAGAGTTTGACTTATAAGTGGTTGTCTTTATCTCTTTTGTTTTTGTTTTGTCTCCGTTGCTGAAATCTGTTTTGAGTAAACGTAGTTTAACCTCTTAATCTTCCTAGACTCAGAACCGCTTGGAAAGTTTCATACGGTATTGAGGATTGAGAATTTATTTTAATGAAACTCAAAAGAACAGCTTGATATGTCCCATTTGTTAATTTGTAAATATGGAGTTTTTATCACATTAAATTGTACCCGACACCGCTTTTCTTCAAATGCCAATGATGGATAAGGGTGCATTCTTATTTTGTTGTCAAGGTCTTAAGTGAAGGTTGTAATGTAGATGACCATTATGTTTAACAAAAACAAAATTACAATGTATTCAAAAAGTGTCATGTATCGACTCGTATTAAAAAAAAACTAAAACTAAAGTCTTTTTTTTTCTCGAAAGGGAATGAAAATATAGCTTCTATCACAGTCCATGGAAATTACCGTCTGCACATCCAGCTTGAGGACTTTGATGGCAATTGCAAATATGCTGAATACAGTAAATTTACTATCGGAGATTCTATGTCTGGGTATATCCTGAACATCAATGGATTCACAGGAAATGCTGGTGAGCATGCGTTTATAATATTGATACTTTCATATACGCGGAAATAGCCGCAACACACATATAAAATTTAGTGAAGAAGAATTGCATGAATTGTCATGTCAGCACATTTGTGTAAAATAATAAAATGAAACTGAAAATGTGCCTTATGATGGTCACACATACATCCCTTAGTTAAATCAAGGAGCCTTAAAAAATGTTCACACTAAAATCAATTTATTTAATCAGTGTATTGTTGTGTGTCTGTTAAATTGTCCGTTAATAAATTTTGAAATTATAAGAAACTAAGGATTTAACTCCCTCAGGCAAAGTTTATCTTAGATGGATTTGGCTAATTTTTTTTATGTCCGTTTTGGTCATATAGGTCTTCAACAGTTTCGGTTCTTATACTACCTTCGCTTTCAAATATTCTGCTCTGAGCGTTCCTGATGGAGGTAAATCCAGAAAAGCGCTTCGGACGCATTAAAATTATAATATAACGTGTTGTTTTCATTTTTTACAGTGAATTTGATAAATCAGTTAAAGTATAGTCTCCATGATATTTAAAATATAATCACTGAATCGATTAGTTATTGATAAAATCATTGATTTTGACCTGGGATTTTTCAGAACCCATAAAATAATTACGAAGTTTTTTTTACAGATTATCCAGATGTATAATTCAGGAAATTAAGAAATCTTAAATAGCTTCTCTTTATTTACATAACTTAGTACTGCACTCTGGTTTGCAGATATTTGGACTCGACGTCCAATTTTGTTCAACGCCATTTATTGAGGAATGAGTCACACCTTGTTATTGGTGTCCGTGATAAAAAGTTTAATGTTAAATAGGTTTGGTTTCCTTAGTATGCCACAAAAGACAAAATCACTGTCATTTCTAATTACAAAAACTAAAGTTATAAAAAAGACGATGGATATGCGAGACAAACAAACTTGGTACTTAATATACATGTAATCATAAAGGCACAAGTGCTTCAGATTGATCATTTTTCCATCCGTTCTTTTACCTTTGTTAAAGCCGGATCTTGTATACTATAGATAGGTTTCGACTGACACAATGTGAGCAAGAGTTACTTCCCTTTTTTCCACGTTGAAGGTCAAAGTGTGCAAATTCCTTCATAAATAAGTATAATCCAACTTGTCATACAACAAGACTTTTGATAAAGGTTTTTTCTGAATAATTTTTATTTCTTTTAACCTTGCTCAGTTCATCCGGCTACGATCTTGTAAGGATCTCTTACCAGACATGAGTGTATAGCATGTTTCAATTTGGTTAGTCAAATAAGAAAATCAACCGTTTGTCTCTCCAAAATGGCGACCAAGGGAAATAACTCAAATCAAATTACGTTATTCGAAAAAAATCATATGTCTGGATCAAAGTTGTTGAGGCAGGGTTAACATATCTGACACCACAAAGCAGTGATATGAAAATTTAAGACGTGTTCAGTATATTGATACAGGCAGAGGACCAACAATAAATGTTATAGGAATTATTATTTCCGTACCAAAATTTGCAGTCAGAGTGCCGATGACTTTTGGGCATTCCGTTAAGGGCATACGATACAGTTACAGGGGAGGTAATGACTTGCTAACGTAAAATGTTATTTTTCACGACGTCAAACTGTGATATATCGGGAAAAGATGCATTTTCGACTGATTTTTATCATTCAGACTGATTTAACTTAACACGAATTCATGGACCCCTCTTTTTAAAAATGACATTTGACTTGATTATTATGTTTGAAGATTATTTGTGCCAATTTTTATGAACAAATCACCGATGAAATTTTTAAATTAGATAACTATACAGCAAAAGATGCCGTTGTTTAACTAAAATCATGAAAATGTGATAACAGTGAATAATTTCCAAAGAATTGTTTCACAAATTCAAAGCACACTTATATAGAGAAGATATTCCAGATGCTTTTGCAGAAATCCGCTTGCGTTTATCTTTTAAAGCAAAAAATTTAGGTATGTCTTTCTAAAGGATAGAAATGTCCAAGAAACCGAAATTTCCAGTAAATGTCTAAAATGTCGACCCCATTTATCTCTAAAAGTATCACATGAATGTATATATTTATTACATATCTGAATTGACTAGGTGAAAATAGCTTGTATGCAAACTTTCGTCAAAAACTCACCGTGGGATCAAAACTGTTTCGTTAATTGACGAAGGTTGACGATATTGCGATATCTTCTAAAAAAAAAAATCATTTTCTCTCAGTTGGTCAATTTTTATGTTTCTTTGAACCACATAGCCCCAACATAATGCACAAAAATTGGAAAATTAGTTTGTTCTCATTTTCAATTTCGGCAAAAATAGATGAATAGTAACATTATTTGTCAGTAAAGCTTTACAGAGTTGTAAAATGTCAAAAGTTATTCACTAAGTTTAAAACTTTCTGTAATGATATAATGATAGGCAAATCCAGATTATTTGTTGCTTTAAATTACTGGCATAGAAATCAAACAAAGACACGCTAGGAAAACATAGACTTCACATTACTTTTACTATTTTCTCATTTATGTCATAATATTTGAAGAAAAAGGTATGTTAAAATTTATTAAACAGTTATATATTAAAATAACTGATTAAAAAAGAGGTAAATGATTTCTGAAAATATCTCTTTGAATTTTGCATAAACTATTCGAGATTGCTTGGCCATAGAGGACTGATTTTATAATTGTAACAAAACATAAATTTGATACACTTACTATAACATGTATAACGAATAAAAACATAATTTTGGCACTTTAACACGATAACAAATCATCATATATACCAGGATTAAAATTCTGTACGCCAGACGCTCGTTTCGTCTACATAAGACTCATCAGTGACACTCGAATAAAAAAATTTATAAGGCAAAATAAAGTAAAAAGTTGAAGATCATTGAGAACCTAAAAATTCCGAAAGGTTTTGCTGAATACAACTAAGGTAATCTATTCCTGGGGTAGATAAGAAATAACTTTTTGTCTTACTAATTCTGAAAGCAAAATAAGTTATTTTATCGACAGTTTCTTTTTCTGTTGCTTAGTTTATCTTGTAATATGATGTAAAAATGTTTTTAAAGCGTAAAACTTCACTTCGCAAATTTTCATACGAAAGCAGTTCATTCAAATTATTTTCTTATGTTCCTTTGTAAATTTGCAAGTGCACAAAAGACTTATTGAAAACTTTTATATAGATAAAGGATAATTATTTATAATCATTACTATTTCGTAAGTAAGAGATACCTTTATTCTAAATTGTATTTTAATAGGAAGAATTTTTGCTCATCTACTGAAATATAATAAGAAGCTCTATCAAGTTAAAAATCCGACTCAACATGCCGGTCTAGTACAAAGCATGTCCTGAATATGCCACTGGACGTTAAGCAGCCATCTGTCGTCGTCGTCGTCGTCGTCTTCGTCGTCTTTCAATGGCTCGTAATAAACAATAAATCCTATAATATTGCGTTAAAACACTAAATGTCATTTCTAGTTTGTGTTTAATTGCATGTAGGAAGAGTAGAAGCTTATTTCATCTTGTTATACCTTTTACAGGAGACAGCTTATCTTGGCATGATGGCATGATGTTCAGTACTTACGACAGAGACAATGACAACAATGGTACAGGAAACTGCGCAATAGCGTTCAGGGGAGCGTGGTGGTATAGATCTTGCCATGGGTCTAATTTGAATGGAGTATATTTGAAAGGATTCCATTCTAGTTATGCTGATGGGATCGTATGGAAAACTTGGAGAGGCTTCTACTATTCACTAAAATCTTCAAAAATAATGATACAACGCTACTAAAAATCAACTTCCGGTTTTGTTTTGTAGGCAAATTCGGATCGGAATGATCAAATGGTATTTTAGTGTTTAAGAATATACAGATCAGTCATGTTTTAAATAATAATTTACAACAATTGTTTGGATTTGATTGAAATGATAATAACATAATTATACTGAAAAATGCAATTTTCTGATACCCAAAGATTTACCTCTGCGTAAATTTGCGTAAAACGCATATCGACGCTTTTTGGTGATGTAGCACGATTCTTAGAGAAAAGAAACTGATTTTCGAAACCCTCATTTATAGTCATAGGTCGATAAACACCTTTGTAGTGGTAGTAAGAAAGGGACTAACTTTTAAAATAATTAACTTCCTAAAATCTGCATGGAATGTATTAATGCAAATTTATTTATATATTCCGAGTTTTAAATAAAATTAAAAGCGAATCATGTACATACCTTTCCCTTTATCTTATCAAGATTATATGTGTAGGACTCTAAAGTGCGATGGTACTCTAAAGTGCGATGGTCACGCTGAAATGCGATGATCTACGCTAAAGTACGATGGTGTCTCACGCTAAAGTGCGATGGTTGTTTGTTTGCTAAAGTACGATGGTATATCACGCTAAAGTGCGATGAACCAATAGGGTAAGGTTCGAGGGCTTAAAACGTTAAAGTGTATTGATGTTAAAAAATAGTATTTTTTCAAAAGCTAGTATGCTAAGGTATAACATATGTAATAGGCTTTATAATTTACTGGTAGGCTTAAGTGATTGTTTCTAAATTTAGAAGACCGACCACGTAATAATTGCTAAAAAGGTAATTTAGGTGTCACAAAATACTATATTTCCTGTAAATGAATTTTTAACAATTCGGGCGTATTAAATATTTGGATAATTTGTGTAGCTTGCCGTTCAATCAGTCTTTCACTAATGTGCGTATACTATTTTGTATCTATATGATTCTATATAGTAAAATGGTCGACTGCAGGATACAAGTCCTGCATCCAGCACCCGAAAAAAAAACACATTTGCTTCAGCCGACAAAGCACGGTTAGGTTTAAATTAATTACGTCATGGATATTTGGTTTAAAAGTTGTTAATCAAATATTCTTAATTTATCTTTCAGCATGTTCATTTTTGGTTTGCATAAACGACTGTTAACGTCATAATCCAACTACGTTTCTTACGTCTATACTTTCGTGGACCATCGGACTTTAGCGTATGGAGGCATCGCACTTTAGCGCAGACCATCGCACTTTAGCGTGACCAGCGTACTTAAGTGTCCCCATCGCACTTTAGAGTCCTACATATGTACTAGTTCACCCCTGGCCGTTTCGACAGGTGGAAATAATACAATGTTAGAAAATAAAAACATTTTGAAAAATGCTTTCAGTTACGAATACAGAGGCTGGGTAAAAACAAGTGAAAAGCTGGAATATATAGATATAGGAAGATGTGGTATGAGTGCCAATGAGACAACTCTCCATCGAAGTTACAATTTATAAAAGTAAACCATTATAGGTCAAGGTACGGCCTTCAACACGGAGCATTGGCTCACACCGAACAGCAAGCTATAAAGGGCCCCAAAAAATTACTAGTGTAAAACCATTCAAAGCTTTATATTTTGATGTCACACTATCCAAAATTCAATTGGAAAAGATGGGAAAGACATAATTTACGACACCGTCAATAAATATAATTATTTTGGATATGATTTAAACATTTGATAACAATAAAAAGAGTTAGCCATCACATGTTATTGAAAAATCGACGTTTTCCTCAGCTAAAGTTCGGAATCCTTGAATCGCACATTTCGATAGTTTTAAGAAATGATTTGTCTATTTTGTATTGTATAATATAATATGTTTATCAAAATTTGTCCTAATAATGCAAACATCCTTTATAAAATAAATGTGTTATCGATTAAAAAAATTTTGTTGCTTTATAGTTTATTGTGAATGAAAAGATACAATATACCAAGAGAGGCATTCAAATCCCTAAGTTGAAAGAAGTCAGTTAAATATTGGATTGTGTTCTTTAATATAGGTCTGTAAACATGTTGGTATAACCCCAAACTTCCGCTACATGTATTTTGTTTTTGATTTTAATTAAACGTTATATTATCCGTACAGTCTTGTTAAAATGTATAATTGATTGATTGTTGGTTGCTTAACGTCCAGTGGCAAATATTTCATACATGTTCAGGACGACTAAATGGTAAAACAAAGATAAGGAACGTAATGGTCACGATGGTCACGATGGTATTCCATCGTACACGTATGTGATTCTCTGTTTATTTGCATATATTATACTGGAGTGGAATGTACCGGTTAATCCTGCAATTTGATTGGTTACCTAAACGGAGGATATGAACCTTTATCCCCTGTGAAGTAAAACAAAGATAAAAATGGTAATTAGTGTTGAAATCAGGGCACTCCAGTTTAATATAATTGTTATTTGGGCTTCACAGGGGAATTGGGATGATATTCCCTGTCAGAACCCTATATCCCCTTCACCCTAGGCTCAGGAGATATAAAACAATGACAAGGAGTATGAGCCCATATCTCCTGTGAAGATCCCGAATAACATATAATAGTTGGCATCTGCACAAATGCAAGTTACCAGCTGTGTTCATAAGTTTCCAACCGGTGAGGACAAAAGGGACTATTGGTTTACAATCCGACCATCCGTCAAGAGACCAAATGACACAGAAATCTCTCTTGTGGAGAGTTGTCTTATTGGCAATCATACCACATCTTCTTATTTTTACACTGTACAGATAAAGCACTTGCTGAAAAGTTCGTGAATATATAGGTTTTGTGACCATGATTGTACATTTATGTCAATTTGTACCTAAAGAATTTTTCATTCTTTGGCAAAAGGAAGTGTCCATATGAGAAGCAGGAACTGCTTACCGTTGTGGAGCATCTGAATTCACCCCGATGGTGTTTGCGTTGATCAAACTGTAGTTTTCTGTGTAGGGCTTCGTTATTGTTGTATGTCTTACATCCTTTATTTTTAGCCATTGTATTGTGTTTTTTTCTGGACTTTTGATAGCCTCCTTGGTATTAATTTACTGTTTTGTATAAACGGTTGGATTATCTTGATGAAAATAAGAAAATAAATTGTGTGCATCTGGAGTGCTCTTCTTGATTTACCTTCATCAGAACGCTGAACCTTAAAATATTTGAAAGCCTTAGATGTAAACGTACGTTAAAACGTTAACTTTAGGACCTACATGACCCAAAGAGAACTAGAGAGAATAAGCAAATGCATCTAATGCCACCTTTTCCCGAGGGAGTTGGAAAACGTACCTAACTTACTTTCTGAATAATATCTTTATAAATTTCTTGGTGCAGGATCTGCTTACCATTCTGGAGCACCCGAGATTACCCCCGGTATTTGGTGGGGTTCGTGTTGCTCAGTCTTTGGTTTTATATGTTGTGTTTTGTGTACTGTTTTTTTTGTCTGTTTTTCTTTTTCTTTTTCTTTTTAGTCATGCCGTTGTCAGTTTATTTTAGACTTGTGAGTTTGAATGTCCCTTTGGTATCCTTTGTCTCTATTTAAATTATTGCTGTTCTACATTCAGTCTCAAATTGGAGATGTTTGCATACTTTTTTTCGGAGAAGTACATTATTTCTTGACAAACATCATTTCGATTACTTATGCGTTAATAATTTCACATTTCCCACATACTAAAATACATACATACTATACTAAAAAAGACTGTTTGATTTGTGAATTAAAAAAAATGTATTCCTTTCAGAACATTTATCCACAATGGATAGGATTAGCCTAATATTTTCAATCGTAGATAGATGGAAGAGCGATTTTTTTACGAATCTCAATTGGCTTCTGCGGTAGATTATTGCGTTTATTGGGTTGTGGATTTATACATTATACATTGTTATAACACATTTCAAAATTATGGTTCTTTTGATATTGTATTGCATTCACTGAGGAGGTTTCAATTTATATATAAATGCAGATCAATTATACTTAGAGTAAATTGTTTATAAGAAAAATCTCATTCTTTAAATCTTTTTTCTAAATTATTTTGTACAAGTATTGTTTTGTCATACCATATTTCAAAATTTATCATTTTGTTTTCTTTCTAGTGATATAAAAATGCTATAATGTGTATAGCCTTGAAAAATATGAACATTTTACTCAGCCTGTATTGGATAAAAACACGCTGGCCTGAACTTGTTATTATATATTTTTTTTAAAAATTACCATGATAAAAAATATGGTTGACGCATTAACTAAGTTAAAGAGACATGCATATATAAAAATAATAAGATGTAGTCTAATTGCCAATGGGACAATTATCCACAAGCTTTTAAATAAAGTGGATGTAAGGAATCATAAAAAACCGTAAGGCCTTCAATAACGAGAAAAAGCCATACTGATCCATAATGTATAGTCTGCTTTGACATGAAAAATATGAACAGATCATGGAAGAAAACTAACAGCCTGATTTATAACAAAACAGTTTACGAAAAACAAATATGACAGACATAAACAAACGACGACTACTGATTTACAGGCTCCTGACTTGGGACAGGCACATAAAGAATGTGGCGGGGTTAATCATGTTTGTGAGGGTTCAACCCTCCTCTAACCTGGGACAGTAGGGTGAGAGCACAACATAAGAACAAACTGTAAGAAGCAGTAGCAATTGGCTTCACTCAAAAGGTCAGTTCGAGGCACAGAAACAACTAACATAAAAACAATAGTGACAAAAAGTCTAAATTATTGGAATCTGTGCATAAATCATTGTGAAACATCTATAATCAAACTAAATGTGGATACCTGTTGTGTGTGTCGCTGCTGTGTCATCCAGATCAACATGATCAAAGCAATTAATTTGCTCTCTGTCCTTAATGTAGTATGAACTGGTGCTTGTTCACTATATGGGTTATCTGGGGAATAATTTGACAAACACAATGATATATGGATGTCATTTCCTTCATTACCATCGGTTTCGGATTTTATGCCTACTTCTTCCGGGCAGGTTTACATTTTCATGAATAACTATTTAGTAAATTTAGAGCAGATTCACTCAGACCATTGTGTTTCAACTTAATAATTAATAAGTCATGAGGTAAGCAGTCAAACACTTTACTCATGTCCATTAGAATTGCTGCTATATATTTGTAATTGTCTATGGCTTTCTTCCAGTCTTTCGATTATGCATAGTAAAGTGGACTGACAGCCAAAACCTGATCTAAATGCTGCAAGAAATGATCCGAAAGTTGAGTCTCAATGGCTGTCTCAAAATTTTTTGATATTAAATAAAGCACACTCGCGGGTCTGTAATTACCCTTTTCAAGAACACTGTTTTTTTATGAATCGGTGCAACCTGTGCAATTTTAAGTGAGTCTGGAAAAACTGAGGGAGACAATGGCAAATTTACGAGATCCACTATTGGTTTTGTATCTACAGGTTTAGCATAGTGTAACAATTTTGGTGAGATTCTATCAATACCCGTTGCTTTTTTAACATTTGTTTTGTTTATTCGTTTCAAAACACAATGTTCATTTACTGGTTGAAAATTAAGATTTGCTGATGATGACAAATCTTGATAATTTTTCATAATTGCATCAATGCTTGGATGTTTTCATCGATAACAATGTCATTATCTCCTATGTTCTTGTCTACATTAACAAAGAAGTTGTTAAAGGTCTCGCATATTTTTCCTGATTTGTCTCTATAGCCATGTATTCTTGTAAAAATGATGTCTTTGTTATTGGCGCACCCTTTATTTGTAAGAAATGGTTTAACTGTAGGCCACAAATCTTTTGCCTTAAGGCCGCCTGTACATCTTTTAATAAAATAGGAGTTTACAAATTGTTTTTTTTTATTTGATTACAAAATTCCTTTGAGCTCTATAAGCTTCCCAGTTTTTTTGTTGTTGACTTTTTGTACCCTGTTATATATAATATTCTCTTTTTAAAGACTGCTGATATCAGTTCTTTATTCATGTATGGTATTTGTCTTTGGAAAAGTTTTTTTTTTTGAAAGATACGTGTTTGTTTGCTACCTGAACACAGATTTTACTAAAAATTATCAATATCCCAGTTTATACCTTGCAGACCATACTAAAAATTATGCTCGTCAAAGTTGAAACTTCTACAATTTTTGTACTTCGGTTTACTCATTGGTCATGTTGGTTGGTTACATTTAACTATCACAGCAACCATATTGTGGACATCGCTTTAGCCACTTTCAAAATTACATATTTTACCACATTTGTCTTCTCTATTAGTTAAGATAACATCTAAAAGAGTTGCTTTTGCATTTCTAGTAAAACAAAAAGTGTCACATTTATCATTTAAAACTGAACTTTTATGTTCATCTATATAAATACTCACATACTAAAATTCAAATCAACCGTTATCATTAAATTGTCAATTTTTTTACAAATTATAGCAGTAGTTGTTTTAAAATCATTGCTAAATTTGAGATCATTCATGTCCGGGGGTTAATAAGCTCCTAAAATAGCCATTTTTGACCATCAAATGTTACTTCTATTGCGATGGATTCAATGAGATCAAATTCATTGGGCTTACAACGGTCACCAGATAGGTCAGTTCTTACAAACGCGAGGACTCCCCCACCATTCTTGTCTTGGTCAGATCTATGTAAAGTAAAGTTGTCAACACTAAACATGGCATCAGGGAAACTGTTCTTAAGTTTAGTTTCTGATATGAACAGAATGTCAACAATGTTTCTTGTTAGTAGCTCTACAGTATGTTCATATTTGTTTCTGTATATAGCTATTGATGTTTAAGATTGTAGGAGACCTTTCCTCAACTTTACTTGGTCTTTAAATATGTCACCTGCTTCAATTTCATCGTTGATGCCGCTCGTGTTGTTTACAGCGGAAGCTGGGGACACGTCATTAGTAATGGATGCGGATGCGGAGAGATCGTCATCAGAATCCGTATCTGTCAAGCTTGTTGAACTTGTGTT